ACAGAAAATGAAAGGAAAGGAAACTGAAAAAGCTGAAGTATACAAGTATGCACTGATTGCATGAAAATAGCAGGCTGTTTACAGTGATGCAATATGTACGGCAGGCTAAATTTAGATTACATCAAGACTTGTAGACAATGGTTTTTATTTAAGATGATGGCGCTGGTTAGATTCACTCAATGAATCCCACGTGTCTGCTAGATTCAGCTACTCTTGCAGCTAGTCTAAGAATCTTGGAATGGAAGTGACTGGACTTCTAAATGTTTTGTGAGGATGTTTCATCTCTAGTGTGAGAAGCTTTTTCAGTTCTAAAACCAAAAGGTCCCACCTTTAACCCTAGTGGTGGTGTCACTTAAGAGAGTTGCTAACCCACTATTGATCATGCACCTCATCACAAGAGCCAAGATGTGAGCAACAACGTGGGCCAATTACCACCTGAGGTTTCGTGTGAAACCACTGTCGCCTCAAACTATCATGTGTCCCACTGGGGTCACCTGAAGCAAGATGTGAGGCGCCTGAGAAGGGATCTCAATACTGCATTGTATGTAGGTGGCCAAGAGTTGGTGTTGCAGCCACCCCCTCTGTTGACAGATGGCTTTTCACAGTAGATACTGGTCACAGGCCTCTTTTACTCCTCTTCTGTCATCTATCTTCTCAGTTCAACAATGTGATTGGCGAGAATGGCAAGGGCCATTTCAGTCACTGTAATCAACATGGAGGGGTAACGTGGCAGGTCCACGCTCTTATCTCTGCATTTTTAATGGATTCAGTTTGAAAATATAGGAGTTTGTTGGAAGATGTAATTACATACTAATAAATGTATATACTCAACTACATCATTATTGTTTTCTACTTAATAAACTCAAAAATGAACTTAACGTAGCTCTAAGTATTCCAGTAATAACTTTATGTATTTAATTTCCTGACTGAGAGAAAGAACTAAGGTGGTGACAAAACAGTTGGGTGCAATTTGTAGATTTCAGCTGATATTTTGGCAACAATCTAAGCAAATCTCATTTACGGAAACACATTCTGCAAAGTGATGCACAGCTACAACCAGATGGCTCTTCAGAGACCACAAGCATCTGATGTCATGAGTGAAAGGAAACAATGCGAGTATGAGACCAGCATTTACAAGGAGGGAAAAACAAAAAAAAAGTAAGAGAGAGGGGTACTGACTTTACTCATGCACATGTGCCTGTATATGCACATTGACCTTTGTATGATGTATTTCCGAGGAACGCAGAAGAAATTGAGACCATAATTATTCGCCCAAAAGTGATCAGTCTGGTCAACCTGCTAATAATCCTTCAGAGAGTAGCCGACAGAATGACAGACGTTTTGGCATTAATGCCTTTAAGCAAAAAGTCATAGAAATGATAGTAAGATTAGATGACCACTGTAGATGTTTAGCATGTACATATTTCAGCATGCCTCTCCCTGCAGGCCAGTGTAACTCTGATGTTTGTGTTTTTTGTGGACAGTCATTTAAATAAGGATGCTGCTGCTGTTAATTGTAATTCTTCTGCTGTTGTTCTACCACCTTCTCCTGGTCATTTTGACATTTATTAGCTTCTAAAACCATCTAGCAATCATTGTGATGCAACTGACAACTCTGTGCAGAGGGGTGGTGGGGATTAGAGCTAGAGATATAGCAGCTTTTAATCCCAGAGAATTGTGTCAGTGTGTTGATTTTAGAGAGACTGGTGTAGATAATCTAGAGCACGCAGATTGTTGTAAACTCCTAAAACACTTACTGTGTGAAGTTGCTGGGGAAATGTTCTCTGAAAACACAACTGGACCTACAATCAAAAAGCTTTTGAATAATAGGGAAATCAAACAAACAAAACCTAAGCAAACAAAGAGATCTCTACTTATTGAAGGCCATGTTGGAAAAAAGGCAGCAGAGATCTGAGCTCTAGACTGAGTCGGCTGTGTAGAATGTCTGATCTGTGAATTCTGTGAATATGACTAACTAAATGGGTGTAATAAAGGGGTGTGGAAAAACACAGAACAAGACTGACCAATGAAGCCTCAATTTAATTCAATTCAATTGTATTCATACAGCACCAAATCACAGGAACTGTCGCCTCAAGGCGCTTCATATTGTAAAGTACCCTACATGACCCTACAATAATGCACACAGGGAAACCGCAAAACAGGAAAACGGGGTCGGTTGATGGTCAAACTATCAGCTTATAGAACACGAAACAGGAAAGCGGTTATTAACCAGAGTGGTGAAAATAAACTAACAGAAAGGAAATTTACTTGAGAAAGGAGAACACTGTGCAAATCAAAAGGCCAATTTAAGAAAGATTCCCACTATGTTCTACCAAGTTAAAAAACAAATTCAACAAAGCACTTTAAGTTATATTTATCATTTAAATCAGTCTAAAAAAGAAGTAGGTGTTCCATTCCACAACAGCAACATTGTCCAAATTAAAAATAGTAATGCTCATAAAGGCTCTGCTCTTCATACTGTCAGGATAAAGCAATATTAAATAACGGATCCTCCATCTGAAATAATTCAAATTTGTATAAATTCATACTGAAGACCAAAATAGTTGTCACACATGATAAAACAGGATTAAATAATGCATTGCCTGTTAATTAAACAACAGTGATTTAAAAGATTACTTTGAGTTCAATACCACACTATTGTCTCTAAACATTTAGATCAACAAACTATCAAATTTAAATAACAAGGAATTAGAAATGCATGCTGGTAACAGGTTTTGATTCAGATTGGTTGAAATCAGAGAGAACCAAAAATGAAGCCTAATTAAATCACCCAGGAATTGGGGTGCGGGTTGTGCATGCTCAAACAGGCACATACGTGCACGAGTAAAGCCACCACTTATATACAACTGGGATAAACTCAAACATTGAGACTTGATACAAGGAAAGGTAAGCAAACATGGAGACATAACCTGAGCACAAGAGATACTAAAGAAAAACACAGAGATGAGACTGGAGCAGAAAAAACACCGAAGAGAGCTAACGTCATTGCTTGAAGAGCTCAAAAGCTTCAACACCAAAAAACCAAAGTAGAGCTAGAACATAATGCCTTACCAAGACCAAAAGCCATAAGCTCAAAAATCTCAAAACTCTGGGTCAAAGATGCAGGGACCATAACAACTAAAGCTGGGCATACACTGTGTGATTTTTGGCCTTTTTTGAGACAATTTCTCAGTCGTGCGACCGTTTTGGGGATCGGCCCAAGTCTTGCCTTAATTGTGTCATCCATCGTGTAGTATACATGGGGTAACGAGAAGCGATTAACACCTCACGACCAGCTCCTGATCAGCAATAGTATGGTCGGAAAAGAAAATCAAACCTGCTTGAAATCCTATCGCCCCTCATGAGGTTATCAACGCAACATCTCACACTGTGCACGCATAATCACAGAAATGAAAGTGAAAAGGTGGAGCAGCACGGCAGTGCAGCGTGTGATGTGGACACAAGCGATGGAGGCACAACTTGTAGAACTTTGGCAAGCTCATCCGAGCCTTTCGATGTGGCCTCACACATAGCTGGACTGGCCATCGGGCATACCGGGCACACACACTCCAGAATTTTTTGTAACAGTATAAACAATGAAAGGCAGTGGATTGGCCAATTGGTCATGATCGACTCTGGGCTGGACCAATTACAGTCGATGAGGTCGAACTTTAAAGTTCCGTATTTAGGTGTAAAGGAACGCGACTTGTCCCGAACTTCAGCTAGAATGAAAAAAACCCCACAAAGCTGGAGTTATTCTGCGTCTTTAAGCTGCATAGCTGCCTCTTCTTCTCTCATTCTCTCCCCCTCCCTCTCCTGCTGCTACTTCAATAATAAGAAATACTTTTCTTTTTTATTCTCATTTCAAATGTCTAGCTTTTAATAAACAATTATCTGAATCTTACAACCAAAGTGGTCATCTGATGTAAAATGTATAGAAATCCATTATTGTATATAGTAAATATTAAATCTAATATATACTCTAATAAGCTATAGTACTTTTTCCTTTGAGAAGGTACCATGTGTGCAATCTGCAATTCTGTTGAAGAAAGATGTTGAATGTATTTAATTACTGTAGAAAAATAATTGGTTTCTGTGCATTTGTTTTACCCTGGCAATAAATTAAAGTTGATTACGTCGATTAAGCATCATGAGGCGGAGGGTGGGGGGTAGTTCCCTATTTTTTTGCTGGGAGTTGGCAACCCTGCTAGTTAGGTATATGTAATTATTGATTAGGTTGTTTGATATTTCCGGTAAGTACTGTTTAAAATACCAGAATTGGGAGGATGGTGTAGGTTTATTAGATTGATACATACCAATAAGATAGTGTACATCACTGTCACAACAGCATTTGTTTTCATTCAAAGGCTTTATGGCTTTTCCTTATAATACCTGGCGGGCCGGTCTCAAAATGCCCGGGCTGATTTTTTTGTCCCAGTCCAGTCCTGGCCTCACAAAATTATCACGACCACAAAAAATGTGAAAAGAGTTGGATGGACATTGCTGCTCAATCACAGCTGCCTGGTCAATGCTTTTCAATCTAGCAAAGTTGATGGTGGTGGTGTGTGTGTCTGTGTGTGTGAGTGAAAGACAGAGAGAGGGAGAGCGAGAGACAGATTTTGTCTTATAACCTTCATGTTATGGACGCACAGTGTGAGCACTCAGGTCCCATCAGAGCATCGGGCCGACTAGTGTGAGACCCTGTACGTAACCTACAAACTTCTAACCACTGTGGTTCAATCATACAGTTTGAGCAGGAGCTGAATAACGAGACCGAAAAATTTGCACAGTGTATGCTCAGCTTAAGGAGACGAAGTCCTCAAAAGAAGGGGCCTCATCTTAGGAGATTAATCAGTCTTTCACTTGATCATTTTAGGAGTTTAAGCAGAGGAGGACACTAGCTGGCCAGCCAAACCCAGCTGCCAAGGTGCGAAAGACATATTCAGGGTTTGAAGAAACGTGTCTCCACAGCTGAGCAAAAATGTACAACAAGCAACATATAATGGGTGAATATGAATAACTTTTTATTTCAGCAAATGTTAAGTTTAACTTGGGAAAGATTACAATAACAGTGACCATGTGAAATTATACAGATTTTACTAGCCAGAGTAAACAAACGCTCTCAGTTGTATTATATATCCAACACGCAACCAAAACTCAAAGCATCTTGTTTTAACACAGACTCTACATATTGTATTGAACTACACAAGCATCAGCACTTTGAAATACTTGAAATGAACTTTGAAATACTGTTGGCCATCTTCACTCAACCAAGAGCCAAATGGTTACATCCTACCCTCTGACAACTTGAGTGGTGACCACCGTTGAGGTGGCCGGCTGCATGTTGGCCCTGATCTTCACCTCACGATGCATCTGGCACCAGACACACCCGTAACACCAAATTATTTTACACCAGTCATCACAGCATGAGCCCTGCAGGATGGAGAAGAAGAAGAGAAGAATAAGACATAACTCAACACAATGAGGCAAACATGGTGAAGTCTCCATGCTTGTCTGATTTAGATGATGAAAGGAGAGGAGAAAATGCCATCCCACAATTCATGAAAACTGTCAGTATAATTGGTAAAGTATGCAGATGATTTAAATCTTAATTATAATATAATTTTCCAATTTGTGCCAAAAGCTAGTGATTTTTCACAAGAGTCTGCACGCACAAAGCACATGCAGACAATTTATGTAAATTTTCTGTGTTTCCAAATTTGATATTTGATATTTCTCATTGCCATTGTTCCTATTGAAAACATGAAGGCATATAGGGAATGATACATGGGCACTGTAAATATGACTACTTTGGACATCTGACCTTTCTGCAAGGTCAAATAAGGTCAAAATTTCATAACATTCTATTTATTACTTATTGGCAACATTTAGGAAATAATATTGCTATAAGGGGACTCAAAATATCCAAAATAATTTACATCCAAATATCATGTCACATGTGACCTTTTTCCTTCTGACCTCATTTCTACATTGCACATCTATGTTTCTCTTTCAAGGTGACCCAAAATGTGTTATTTTTACTGCCTACATATTCTTAAAGTACATTGAAAAAACACAAAGAAAACAAAATATGAATATTTTGTTTTCTTTGTGAATAAATGAATATATAAAACTGTACAAGATACAGCACTGTTCATTAAAAGTAATTATTGTCCAGAGTGAACTGGCTTGGCAGACGTTTACACTCCCAGTATGCTTCTTTTTATGTTGATTTTTGTAGGAAAAGCTTATCTTTTAAAACGAAATAGAATTTAAATAAAATCGTTTTTCACTCCTCGGTTTAGCTTTTAGCTAACAACAATAACCTTGACCCTCCCCCGCCCCCAGCCTTACAGGGATGCCGTGGCGCTCTCTGATCGACTGGCGAAGCGTGCAGGACACCACGCAGCATGCATCACAGAGTGGGAGGCAGCAACACCACCCGTGCTTGTTGGCTGTATCGCACTGCATGCAGGGGAAACACCAAAGGGCACAGCAACCTCGACAGAAGAGAAAAAAATATGCAGAAACCCAAGTTTATTTTACTGTTGAATAAGTTCTCCTTCAACAACTAGCTTGTGCATCCTGTGTTTCATATGGTGACTTCAGCTCTAATTTCAGATGATCAGAAGACCCTCTGAATAAAAGTCTGAGGAGATTGTTGATACAAAAAGCACTACTATTTGTAGAGTTTGCTAGATTAACTTACAAGTGCCCATATCAGCACAGCAATCACAGAGGCCAGTGCTCCAAGTCCCAGGGCTTTGATTAGTGCTGGAGACTGTCACTATCTGGGTGGGCTGCTGGTATTCAGCCATTTCTGGAGGAAAGAAGGTAGAAATGGAGACGCATTGAAGGGTTATAGTTTTAGTTGCTCCACTGTACGGAGAAATCAAATGCTAGAATATGAAAAAGATATCAACATTACTGTCCACAGTGTGGATATTTTTTACACATTACAGTTTCCTGTTTCATGGAAATCACTGTAATGACTATTGGCAGCAAATTTATGAGTTCACCCTTTAAAACTCATAAATTTGCTAAAACCAAGTTTACAAACTGCATTCACAGCACATTTCAAATCTATAACTTTTATAAATTCACAGTTTTAAACAGTTCAAAGTCACACAAAATCTTTTGAGAGCATCCAAAATAATGCAGAGCATTCAAGACGCACTACATCAGAAAACCAAAGACACTTTACACATTATTATTTGTCCTTGTGTAGTGATAAATGCAAATTGCAGAACCATTGTGTCAAAAACTAAAGTCATCCCATCATTGTTTCCTGTATAACTTTATCAGTCTCTCATATTGTTGTGCATGAATTTTAGCCCACCTTTCTTTTCTTTGAAGTTTGTAGGTGTCTATTTATACAAAGGCCTCATTTTGGATACATTTTGCTCTAAACAAGCACACTTTGATACTTTGATGCTGCTAAAACCATGCAGACAGAAATTAACAAATAAACTTTATCTTTGGTGTGACCACAGCTATCAAAACAGGGCAAAACCTGTGAATAAACACACACAACATGCCTTCATTTCCTCATATCAAAAACATTTTCCAGCTTTGACCTGTTGAACGTTAGAAATGGTAACATTTTTGTGATGTAACAGAAACAATATAAGACATATTTAGAGTTATTTATCCATTTTTTCTTTGGTACATAATTTCATATAATTTGCTTCATATATTTGATGTCTTCAGTCTGAGTACCAAATTTATGGTCAACTCAATGAATGCAACGTACCCAGGTCTTGTGACTGCCAACACAAATCATCACCATTCACCCGTTTTTGACAGTTGGTAAGGCAAAAGGAAAATTTATGCCAAGTTTCGTTTTTGCTAACCATGAAGCGGTGCCTGATAACTAAACACTGCCACTTTCGTCTTGTCTGTCCAGATAAACCTTCCCAGACTTGTGAACAGCAAGAAATTAATTAAACCTATGTCAATGAGTGAATACATAGGCATAAAGTCTAATTACACTATCACACATAAAAAAACACAAAAAAACTTCTATTAACACTCTTAAGTTGTTTCAAATAATCTAGCTTTAATAATAAAATATTTTTTTCAACTTTAAGGGTTTTAATAAAACATTTCCTCTTATCTTCCTACAACAGATAGCTAAAATTTGGCATCCCTGGAAAAGACGAGCTTTCTAGCATGACGTACACTGTTTCTTGAATAGTGTAATTAAACTAAAAGGAACTACCTGAAATTCAAGTATATTCATCCATGTAGTGATTTCAAAATGTGGTTTCACCATAACGAACGCTACATGGTCTTCCTGTACCCCCTTAGCTTTTCTCCAAAGACATGCATATTAGGTTAAATGATGATTATAAATTGGCTGTATACTGAAAATGGTACATCTGTAGATGTGAATATGAGCTAAATAAAGATGTGATTTAAAACATGTTGAATGCTGAGCACAAGACTTGAAAAATGCTACATAAAAGCCATACCAAATGCATTTTTAGGCCCATTATTTACAGTTTAGCTAACTTCAGGTTCATTCAAGCATACTAAACAGGGACAGGAGAGGCTATGTGTTTCTAACAAATCCTAAATTTGGCATGCAGTTTATTTCTCACATTGGAAGCTGCTATCTGAATGCATTTATAGCGCAGACAAAGCAACATCAGTAGCCAAAGTTTTGTTGGCTACTGTGCCTAAGATGCTATCATGTAAAGGGTGTTTTCAGTTGTAGTGCATTACATGTTACACATAAAACCCAACAACTAACATTTACTGAACTGTGAGCTAATGCAAATTAATTGTTTGACAGAATAGTCGCTAAAATGAGTTTAAAAGGCTAAACTGTAACTTCCTTTGTCCTCGCTGTGCTGACAGCAATGATAATTATCACACATCCAGATCATGTTTTTCTTGAAGAAAGTACAGTTTTCCTTTAACTAACT